TGGATCAAATTCAAAATCCTAACGCTGATGTACAAAGCTGTCCACCATACTGCCCCGAACTACATCACTGACCTAATATCCAAGTACCATCCAACACGCACTCTCCGCTCCTCACAAGACCTCCTTCTCTCTAGTTCCCTGGTCTCCTCCTCCCATTCCCGCCTCCAGGACTTCTCCAGGGCTTCCCCCATCCTCTGGAACTCCCTACCCCAATCCATCAGACTATCACCTACCCTACTCTCCTATAGGCGCAACCTGAAAACCCATCTCTTTAGGGAAGCCTACCCCGCCCCCTGCTAATTGTCGATCTCCTCCACTCTTCCTACCACTCCATCCCCCACAGCTTTTCCTCCCGTACCACTATCCACTCCCTCCTAGATTGTAATCTCCAAGGAGCAGGGCCCTCGAACCCCTCGTGTATCGCATTGTATTGTTATTGTACTGTCTCATGTATTGTCTCCATTTGTAATGTACAGCACTGAGCGAACTGTTGGCGCTATATAAATACTGTACAAGAATAATAATAATAATCTATCAGTGCCAGCCAGTGCCGCTTATTAGTGTTTGTCAGTGCCACCTATCAGTGCCCATCAGTGCAGTCTAACGGTTCCAATCAGTGCTGCCTATCAGTGCCAGTCAGTGTCGCCTATCAGTGCCGCCTATCAATGCCCACCAGTGATGCCTGTCAATGCCCATCAGTGCCGCCTATCAATGCCCACCAGTGATGCCTGTCAATGCCCATCAGTGCCTTATTATCAGTGCCGTCTATCAGTGCCCATCAGTGCCACCTATCAGTGCCCATCACTGCAGCCTCATTAGTACACATCACTGAAAGGGAAAAATTACTTATTTACAAAATTTTATAACAGAAACTAAGAAAAAACACTATTTTTTCAACATTTTTAGTCTTTTTTAGTTTGTTTAGCAAAAAATAAAAAACCAGAGGTGATTAAATACCACCAAAAGAAGTCTCTATCTGTCTCAAAAAATTATAAAAATTTTGTTTGGGTACAGTGTTGCATTACCGCGCAGTCGTCATTCAAAGTGCGACAGCGCTGAAAGCTGAAAATTGGCCTGGGCAGGAAGGGGGTAAAGTGCCCGGTAGGAAAGTGGTTAAAGGAATTTTTTTTTTTTTACTTTAAGCAATGAAAAATGACTGTCCATTTAAAAATGGTACTTTTTGAAAAGTTCGAGTCCCATAGACTTCGCAGTCAAGTTCGAAGTTCTCAGTCAACCACTCATTAGGTTCAAATGTTCAACCGTGAACCGAATGCGGGGGTGTTCAGCCCATCACTATTAAAAAAAGGCTAAAATGCACTCACAAGGAAAATTTTAAAAATCAGCACTGTATAAAACCATCAAACTGCAGAAGGAATCGTGAAATCACCTCACTTCCAGTAAAACGTAATGACCTCACAGGCTCTTCCCTACGCGTTTCATCATAACTGATGTCATCTGGGGCACTTTTTTCATATTTACTTATTCTGCTTGTCATACACTATTCAATAATTTTCTGTCACATACTATATTGGATTGTGGCGTCGAACATTGTCTATTATTTACTTATTGCTGTGAAAAATATCTCATGGCGTGCTCGCAGTTCTTGTAATCAATGCTTATGATTTGTTATTTTTTCCCCACTAGCACGCTGTAGTGGCATGTACATAAAGGGACGGAAAAGGGATACACACAGGGGCGGACTGACCATTTGGAAACTCAGGCACTGCCCCAGGGCCCGGGGTCAGTAGGGGGGGCCCCATGAGATGCCCAGGTACCGTTTTCATAGGCTTTTTTGAGTTTGGGCAATGACACAGGGGCCCCATGATCCCCTATTGCCCGGGGGACCCATGAGTTGTCAGTCCGCCCCTGGATACACAAGAGAAGATTTTTCAGCGTTCCTTATTCAGCAGCTCAGAAGGGCCACATCTGAGGCCCCAATTACACCTGAGCATAGCATCAACATGCGGAGAAATATGCATTTCTTCATGCGTTTCTGAAAGGCAGTAAAAAAATGCAACAAAATGCATGGCGTACATTTGGATGTCTTCCATTCTTAATTGCACCTCAAATGTTTGGGCATTTTGTCACATCACAAAATGCACAAAAACATGCAAAATGCACCAAAGCCAGCTCCAAAAAAGATACAGGGTTACTTTGGTGTGTCTCTGAGCATGTGGCAGGCCATTCAAGTGAATAGACTGTCCTACACGTCATACCAAAATCATGAAACTACGTGATGCTCCCACATCACTCATGAGTAAATGCAATCTTACAAAGCAGAGGTAGATTTGTGTGTGATCTGAAGCCAGGCTCTATCATCAGAATCGGCATGCGGAGAGCCAAGCAGGAGCCCAGTAGCGCGCAGTTTCTCCAGAAGACCCAACTACTGCAGGGAGCCTCTCCACCAGGGGCGGACTGACCATTTAGGCTCTCGTGCACTGCCTGAGGGCCTGGGGTCAGTATGGGGCCCCATGAGATGTCCCTGGTACCTTTCATAGGCTTTTTTGGGTGTAGTTTGAGTGTGGGCGAGTGAATAGACTGCCCTACACGTCGTACCCAAATCATGAAACTACGTGATGCTCCCACGTCACTCATGAGTAAATGCAATCTTACAAGGCAGAGGTAGAGTTGTGTGTGATCTGCAGCCAGGCTCTACTATCAGAATCGGCATGCGGAGAGCCAGGCAGGAGCCTAGTAGTGCACAGCTTCTCCTGAAGACCCAACTACTGCAGGGAGCCTCTCCACCAGGGCGGACTAACCATTTAGGCTCTTGTGCACTGCCTGAGGGCCTGGGGTCAGTAGGGGGCCCCATGAGATGCCCCAGGTACCTTTCAGGCTTTTTTGGGTGTAGTTTGAGTGTGGGCGAGGACACAGGGGCCCCATGATTTCCTATTGCCCTGGGGTCCCATGAGTTGTCAGTCCGCTCCTGCTCTCCACATTGCTACCAGACTACTCCAGGATACAGGCACAGGGCTATTTCCAGGGTCATGTTGCGTCAAGGAGATGTGGATGGGGAGAGGGATGAAGGTACAGTCAGTGATGTATTTAGGTTTTGTGCTGCCCTAGGCAACACAAAAATCGGCACCCCCCACAGAAAGAGCCTGACATTAACCAACAACACCCCTGTCTCCCACCCGAGAGAGCCTTCCACTACAACTGCCCCCATACTCCAGCCACCATCCCCCATGGCAAGAGAGAGAGACACTCACCTTAACAGCTCAAGACATCCCTGGGATCAATGTCGGGCTGTGCATACACTGTCATGAAACTCGCAGCCTCTCTCAGAACCCACCTGGTCCCCATGCCACGTGTATCCCTTCTTCCGAGGGGCAGTGCTGCCCCCCCCCTGAAAAATGCTGCCCTAGGCAAATGCCTTGTTTGCCTTGTGGTAAATACACCCCTGGATACCGTGAAGGGGATACATTTTGCTGGTGGACATCTGAGAAGCAAATTCCCAGCTCCAGTGTGCTGTTGAGCCATAAACAGGTGCACTGGGACATTAGCAGACACAATGGAAACTGAATTTCTAGTAAACATAAAAATGGTGTGAAAAATGCACTTTTTTTCAGCAATTCCTTGCAAACTCATCTGAATAATTCTGAATTTGCATAAATAATTAAAGATGTGTAGTACTAGTGTTATCTAGTTGAATTTTTATATATTTCTTATGCCGGCCATACATGGGTCAAAATTCAAATGATTTTTAGTCCGAAAATCGGACCAAATAATCGGCCGATTTTTGCGCTCTGTTAGTGGGTCAATGGCACTGGCCAATTTTCATGGTTCCTCCCCTTTTTGGTGATTGGGCATGTTGGAAAATTTGTGAAAAATGACCGATTTTTGGCTCAATGATGGTCGTTTTTCCAAAAAAGAATATGCGCATGAGCCGTGAACTGCTAGGAACAGAAGTTTCGCCTGTTATATGGGGTGAGCTGGTCGGCCAATGTTCATTGATGGCACCGTCGGATTTCGGAATTCAACCTTGTATGGCCTGCATTACTTCCCCACCATCACATTTTCTTTTCTTCATGCCTCTCCCCTTCTGTACCACCACTTTACATTCTATGTCATAATCTTTATACCAAAGAGACAATTCAAAGTAAGGCACACTGAAAGGCAATGCTGGTGTGTTATACCTTAGGCAGAAATTGATCATTATTTATATTACTAAAATCTGAACTGGAACAGCAGTCTTTAAGGTGTTACTAAACCCACAACAGTACAATCAGTCTGTAGATGCAGTAAAGCGTGCTTGTTATACTCACTGTGGAACCTAAGGGGTTAATACTCTGCATTGTGTAAAAAGGCTGTTTGATCCTGTCTTCTCTGATCCTCCCCTTCTTCTACTGTCCCCAATCCATCTGCTGATAGAACACAGTCTTGGGGGCACTCTGCACATGCTCAGTTTGGTGTGTATTGCTAGAGAGTTTTTTTTTTTCTTAGAAGAGTGCATGTGATCAGAACAGGGCCAATCAGCACTGTCCAGACAGAGGGTCGGGAGTTATGTAGCCTCAAAGGACAGTCAGAGCAGAATGAAAACTCTTCTTACAAGCTTTTACCAGTGCTCTGCTGGACACTGATATAAATCACAAGATCCCCCTTTTTCCACTGTTCTCAATCCATCTGCTCATAGTACAGAGTTCTAGCAGTCACTCTGCACATGTTCAGTTTGGTGTGTATTGCTAGAGAGGTATTTTTTTTGGGAGAGTGCATGTGATCAGCACAGGGCCAATCAGCACTGTCCAGACAAAGGATCAGGAGTTATGTAGCCTCATAAGACAGTCAGAGCAGAATGAAAACTCTTCTTACAAGCTTTAACAAGTGCTTTGCTGCACACTGATAGAAGTCACAAGACTTCTATATACTGCTGATGAGAAACGGTATTTAGCAGTTTATATTTACTAAAATAATTGCATTTCCATGTTCTGTGTACTGCAGGGGACCAGCTATAGTGAATGCAGGGTCCTGGGAGACCTGATATAGTGAATGCAGGGTCCTGGGAGACCAGATATAGTGAATGCAGGGTCCGGGGAGACCAGATATAGTGAATGCAGGGCCTGGGGAGACCAGATATAGTGAATGCAGGGCCTGGGGAGACCAGATATAGTGAATGCAGGGTCCTGGGAGACCAGATATAGTGAATGCAGGGTCCGAGGAGACCAGATATAGTGAGTGCAGGGTCCGGGGAGACAGACCAGATATAGTGAATGCATGGCTCGGGGAGACCAGATATAGTGAATGCAGGGTCCGGGGAGACCAGATATAGTGAATGCATGGCTCGGGGAGACCAGATATAGTGAATGCAGGGTCCGGGGAGACCAGATATAGTGAATGCAGGGTCCTGGGAGACCGGATGTAGTGAATGCAGGGTCCTGGGGAGACCAGATATAGTGAATGCAGGGTCCGGGGAGACCAGATATAGTGAATGCAGGGTCCGGGGAGACCAGATAGAGAGAATGCAGAGTCCTGGGTTTAGTATCACTTTAATCCCTTATAAAACATATATGTTTCTTTATTTGAATTACTTGCTATCTTGACTTCAGGATTTTTTGTAAAATGTTATTTAAATTAATATTGAAATACTGTTTTTTAAAAAAAAAACAATAAGATGAGTATGTGAATAGATTATATGTTGTCAACATCTAAAATAGGTGATATAACAAATAGTATATCTCCTCACTTTACTGGTCACTGAAAGGACCAACATTTCTACTGTAGATCTTTTAGTATCCTTATATAAATACCCTATAAACATGGGAAATTACAAAATGGTATGATCCCAGCAAAATTAAATGAAATTAAAAGGAAATTAATTACATAGTAGCTAATTTTCAATACTGGGTTACAAAGATGCTGCTTGCTTTTCCCAAATAAAGGATTCTCTTTTGTGGAGATATATTTTATTTCACTGTAGTATTTAATTCTTTGGGGACTTTGGCAGTGCAAGCATGCTCCTCAGCTCAGGCAAAGCTGCTTTTTGTTTGTGGCTTGTGAATGCACACATTTGTGATAAAGTTGTATTCACCAAAGTACCACATATTTAAAGGATGGTTTAAAAGGTTATTCAACAGTGTATACAGATACAGTATACATTTTTTCTCTGCTCTGTTGAATAAAACATAAGCAATTGCATTAATGCAATATTTGTACTTCCTTGAAAAAAAATCACAGACAGCAGCAAATGGAGGGAGGAAATGTTTTAATAGTTAGTTTGAAGCACTCTGAAGTTATAAAGAGTCATATCTCACTTGTGTTAATTACTTCTTCCATCCAGAAACCAGACCTTCATAGTCTGTATGCACTCCAGCAAGAAAGCCACAATGTACATTTGCTTTCCATTCAGAATCAACAGGTGAGCACCCAAAAAGAAGAATTGCAAGCTCCATATAGTGTGAAATTAAATCATTTTAGTAAAGGCTAAAATGTACTCATAAGGAAAATAAAACAATCAGTGCTGTAGGAATCGTGAAGTCACCTCACTTCCTGTAAAATGTAATGACTTCACAAGCTTCTCCCTACGCGTTTCGTCATAACTGACGTCATCTGGGGCACTTTTTTCCATATTGACTTTTTCTGCTTGTCATACACTATTCAATGATTTTCTGTCACATACTATATTGGACTGGATTGAATAAAACATTAACAGGGGCATTAACGCAATTTGTGCACTTCTTTAACAAAAAAAAAACCTAGACAGCAGCAAATGGAGGGTGGGGGGGGGGGGGGGAATTATATGCCCAGGAGGAAGAGGGAAGGGCAGGTAGCAGCAGCAAAACGTTAAGCATTGAATTCTAAGGATATAGGCTGTTCTCCATTCTCCAAATATCCTTTTTTTGGGTCACACATAACGAAGACCCAATGTGGAGAGGATTTGGGGCAGCTGGGTTTTTTTATACTATCAGTGGTGAATAGTGCAGGAGGTGGTGACGTTTCTCCCTTTAATTCTCCCAAGTGCAGATCAGCCATTTGCATGAAAGTGGTGCTAATATATCACCCTTTACCTTCTCCTCAAGGATGCATATCAGCCATTTTCTTTACGTTTAATGCATCCTTTTCCTTCCTCTCGTCCTCCTCTAGGCTACATGTCACCTATTTCTATGGTGGTTAATAATCACTTCAAGTCCGGACACTTTCACCCCCTTCCAATTCAGGCCAATTTTCTGCTTTCAGCGCTGTCACGCTTTGAATGACAATTGCGCGGTCATGCAACACCATACCCATATGACATGTTTATCATTTTTTCACACAAACAGAGCTTTCTTTTGGTAGTATTTGATCACCACTGGATTTTTTATTTTTTGCTATATAAATTAAAGGTGATCAGGGCGCTGGTATGGTGTATGGCGGTGATCATGGCGCTGGTATGGTGTATGAAAGTGATCAGGGCGCTGGTATGGCGGTGATCATGGCGCTGGTATGGTGTATGAAAGTGATCAGGACGCTGGTATGGCGGTGATCATGGCGCTGGTATGGGGTATGGTGGTGATCGGGACATTGTTATGGTGTATGGCAGTGTTTTTGTGAGCACCGGGATCAGGTGACAGGTGCTGTCTGCATTATTTATTGTGATTACACTGGGGCAGTGATCAGGGACACTGGGGTGCCTGGCACTGCAATCTGTGAGTGTACATGCAGCCTGACAGGCAGTGTACACTCACAGGCTGCATCATTGCTTCTCTCTTCTTCTCTGACCACCCGGACAGAGCGGTAATGTGATCCACTGTGTCCAGGTGACACATGGATCCCCGGGCTCCCAGGTGCTCAGTCTGTGAGCCATGCAGGAGCCTCCAACACAAGCTGATGTACAGGTATGTTAGCCTGCACCGGCGCTGCTTCCTGTCCGCTGTCTTTAGGCTATGGGTGGATGGGAAGCAGTTAATATTCCCAATATTGAACTGAAAAGTTCTTTAAAGGCTTCAACAAAGATGCTTGAGTCTTGCACAAAGCTTCACAAAAAACTTTCCAAAACTTGGCTGAAAGTTTGGCAAAACCTTTCTGTATGCACTGCTCTGATACAAATTAAAGCCCATGTGAACAAGACATTTACACGGTTAAATGTTTTAATTGTGATGCATTCTACTGTATATACTGTACACACTGCTGTCTAGTGTTTATTAATAACATTACTTTAAAAATATCCACTTTAAAATTTGCTGAAATTGAATTCAAGGCAGGCCGGTTCTACATGGAAGATATACATGGGCATACATTTGCACTAGTCAGGAGAGATTCTGCGAGTAATATCATGGTAATGTATCAGGATGAGTGCCAGAATCAAACCTAACCTGTAGTATACGGGCCTTTCATTATAGACTAATGTGCATTTATTTATATGAGATGCTATAACTCTTCCTCTGTATCCTCACTCCCTTGCCCATTACTTTTTACATATACGTTTGCTCTATATTACATAATGGTTAATACATGCCTCTCTATCTTCTCCTCTTTGTATACAATGAGAGACTTTTACTGTGTGAATATTGTATTTTCTGTATGTTAGGAAAACTTCAGCAAAAACTTTGTGGGGAAAAAAAATAGCAGTTAAAAAACTACAATGCAGTTAATGACTGTTGCATGTCATGCTTCCTGTAGTCTTGCATTCTAAAAGAGAATCACCACCATGATTATTACTATTTGATATTGTGGCTATGAATTGTGACTGTCACCTTTCTCTCTAATAGGGCCAGCAAGAAAGAGAAGACCCAAGACTGTAAGACAAAGGTCACCCTTAGGCAAAAAATGGGTGTGAATTATAATATATAATAATATTAACCCCTTGGTGCTGCTTTTTTCAGTATCAAGGTAATAGTATAAAGATAGATACAGATATATATCATTATACAAAATATAAAAAAATGCAGCGCTAATTACAAAAACAAAAATTCCAATGAAACATAAAAAGTTCCAATTTCTAAAAGTCCCAAAAATATTCCCACGATCCACCATCACCAGGACACCCGAATGGTTCAGCCTCTTACCAGAAATTCTGACGGAATTACACCGCTCAATATAGGTAACTCCAATGGGAGATGAACATATGAATCATGGAATCAGCAGTCCTCATCCAGGTTGATATCAATCTTCCCCTTTAAGGATCTGAAGTTGGTCCTAAAAGAATACTCTCGTCCAATATTTAAGCAAAGGATAAAAGAAAAAAGCCACTCATAGTGTAGTATTTGAGTAATAAATTCACCCTGTTTAATTTCACATTACTCGTACATTGTTATGGATGGTTACCAGCGTTTGTATTAAGTTTCCAACCAAGAAAATGGCCGCTGTCCCTCCAAGAAATGTGATGACGTCACGCGCCGAAGCTTCACCCGGTGCTTTTCATCATCCAATTGATGTCGCCAAGATTGATATCAACCTGGATGAGGACTGCTAATTCCATGATTCATATGTTCATCTCCCATTGGAGTTGCCTATATTGAGTGGTGTAACTCGATCAGAATTTCTGGTAAGAGGCTGAACCGTTCGGGTGTCCTGGTGACAGTGGATCATGGGAATATATCTGGGACTTTTATAAATTGGAACTTTTTATGTTTTATTGGAATTTCTGTTTTTTGTGATTAGCGCTGCAATTTTATATTTTGTATTATGTTTATTGCCTATTGTGCGAGCTGCTTTTCTATGTTATTATTATTATTATTATACAGTATTTATATAGCGCCAAAGGGTTTGCTCAGCGCTGTACAGTAGCAAGGGGGACAGAACATGAGACAAGACAGCAAACAATACAATACACGAAGGGTTCGAGGGCCCTGCTCTTTCGAGCTTACAATCTATTATTTGTTTAGTTTAGTTACCTAAGCGCAGGTTTTTTGTTTTTTTAGATCTATATCACTATACTATTACTGTGATGCTGTTTCTTTTCAGTTTATTGTAAATGGATCAATCTTTTGTAAATTAAAGTATTTTATGTATGGCCTAGTCCTGAAGAAATAGTGGCACTGTGAAAAGCATTGACAAAGACGGGCACGGGCATTACTCTACATGAGTAGTCAATGATTGGAATTTATGTACGTTTCTCACAAATAGGGTGCAAAAAATTATGTATATGTTACCTCTGTTGTAAAAGAGATTTTAATGATTTATATATAAAATTAAAATTCAGGATTTTTATGTATTTGGGTAATGTTTATGCTATGGAAATCTCTAAATAGCCTGCTGGAAACCCTATTTTGTTTAAACAGAAACAAAATATAGCAAACAATGATCCTTCCCTTAGTGGTTGGAGTCAGTCCATTCCCCTCACAGAAAGAGATGGTAATGAGACAAATGACCAGCTCAGATGCAGTCTGGGAAGAAGTCGTGATGACGAAACTAGTCAGAAGTGATATCAGACACTGGAAATGATGCAATCGCGTACTCTGGAAGTGCCACGTTGGCTACTTTGGAAGTGATTACATTTTTTTACATTTAACCACTTCCTGTCCGGACACTTTCACCCCCTTCCTGTCCAGGGCAATTTTCAGCTTTCAGCGCTATCACACTTTGAATGACAAT